AGAATATAATTTTTCTTTTCACATAATAATTTTAAGTAATATCACAGGGAAATACAGAAGTTCATTGAGAGTCCAAAACTGATTTTTTCTGTCTTCGACTTTTGCTTTGAATGTTCACCTGAGATTTCTGTTCAAAACAGACCCACGTGAATATCTTGTTCTTCATAAACGAAAGAGAAGCCTTCTGATTTGCCTTCTGATAGGACATAGCATTAGACGCCTTTTTCCCCATTTAGACTGGACATCACTCATGTGTCCACCCATCTCCCCTATGAACACACGCTCAAAGTGATTGGATGAAATTAATTAACGATGGAGCAAAATTTTTCTTGGTCTATGACTAAATAGAAGAAATATCTAACTTTGGTACTGGCTTCATATACACCATCTTTTAACAAACTGAACTGAATCAAGAACAATAAAAATTAATGAAGAATTAATTTCAAAGCCATGAAATTACATAATTTTGTTCATAACCTAAAATTTACCAAAGAGCATCAGCAATTTTTCACTAGGGTACTTTACATATAAGGATGTTGACTACAAAATGTATGTGAATTTGAAGGCTACAAATTTCAATACTGTAGAATAAGACACTAAAATAATTATACATACACTAGATCAACATTTTCTTAGTTATAGTTAAATCAATGATAAAAAATTAACAAATTGGATTTTTTTTTACCTCTTTGAGGACTTCCTGTAAGATTTCAGCATGTTTTTCATATGGCTGTTCAAAATTTATATCCTGTGCTATATTTATAGTCTCCTCAATCATAGAAAGAACCTCTGGATGATTTGCAGTTACCTCTTCCATTGAGTCTTCTACTGAGACTAAAGTAAATTAATACATTAATGCCATTAATACTTTTAGTAGACGATGCTATTTGCAATAAAACATAATTGGTAATATCTGACCCAAGAAAGTATTACCTTTGTGTTACTGCAAAACATGCTGGGAGAAGGGGGAAGTAAGACTAGGGAGAGGAAATGTTAAGTCAGGAATCACAGAGTCACAAACTATCAGAGGAGTGATTTAAAGCCAGTGCCCCAGAATGAAAGCCAACGAGGGAAGAAGAAAGTCCTGTCAGGCAGGAGTCAAAACCAATGCAGAAAGGTGGGGACCAGAGGATTCCAGGCATTAAACGAAAGCACAAACATCTAGAATTAATCAGAAAACAAGATAAATACTTCCAGTTACTACCTGGGATGGTAAAAGAACAGGAGGGAGGCAAGTTTGAGGGGATGGGGAAAGGTGGCATAGGCTAGTTTTTCCAATGTTACACTTGATTCTTGCCCTCTTTGGTGCTGAAGTGTCTCCCTGTGCGGCTGAGTTGGCTGTCAGGCTGCATCGTGACGTAAATGTTTATCCATCCCTCCAGGGAGACGGGAACTTGGCAGCTCCACTCGACTCCTCTACATTTGCGTTTGCAGTCCAGCGTCTGAGCTGCTGCCCTAGGGCTCCATCTCTCAGGGTCTCTACCAGAGCCCAGTTGATCCCAGCCCAGAAAACCCCAAAAAGGCCTTGAAAGAGCAGATGCCTACTGCCCTCCCTGCCTGAACATGTTCTCAAGGATGGAGAGAGCCACAGTTCCTGGAGAACCAGAGCAGAAGAGTCAAGAACCCATGATCTTCCTGCAGCCATGGGAGTAGGGGGCATGCCAAGGCAGAAATAGCCAAGAAAGAGAGAAACGTGCTAGGAGCTACTAGCTGTCCACCCAGTAGCCATTCTCCTTTTCCTTAGTAACAGAACCCCTGACTTTGTCAAGGCCAGCAATGTGCCTAGCTAAAAAACTACATCTCCCAACTTTCCTTATTGTTTGGATGGCCAAGAAGATGCAAGCAGAATTTGTGTGTGTGTGTGTGTGTGTGTGTGTGTGTGTGTGTGTGTGTGTGTGTCTTCCTGTCCTCTCTTTAAGAAAGTTGACTCAGCTCAATGCAAGGGACAGTTTTGTCCCTTGCTTTTTTCCCTCTTCCTACTAGGGACACTGTCATGATGGCTGGAGCTCCAACAGCCATATTGTGAATTATTATAGTAGCTACATGTCAGGGATGGCAGAGAAGAAAGATAGATCACCCGTCTTCCCAATATTCTTTTTCACTAAAACAACATATCATGTGATATTTTTTTGTGTGTGTTCCTGCATGTCCAACTGTTCATATTAATAATAGAGTAGCCTTTAATTTAGAGTAAGTTGGGTATTAATAATGTTTTTT